TGAAAAGGAAGGGCAGTGCCAGGAGACTGAGGTTAGAGGGACAGCGGGGGGGCGGGGCTTCAACAGAGGAAGGTGTGTCCAGATGGAGTTTGCAGTCAGCTGTGCCTGACATCCCCAGAGGTGTAGTAAGACAAAGGCAGGAAGGTAATGAGAACCCAGGACCTGGTAACTTATAGGTCACTGTGGTGACTGTGACCAAAGTGGTTTGGGACCCCAGCCTGACTGGAGTGCAGAGAAGGAGGGGTGAGCATGTGTAGCTTTCAGGACATTTTGCCAAGAGGCTGGACCATGGGTGCTTTTGCTTTTCCTGTTGGTATATTCTTATTTCCCAACAGTGACCATTTATTACTTGTTTAATAGGTACTCTGCAGATGGCACTTCACTGTTTATGAGAAAAGGATGAATTTCTAGTAGAATATGGCAGACCCTCATCTTCCTCCCTTCACTGTGACCTCTCCAACCACAGGCTTGCTATTCTCCACAAGCACCAATCTCTTGTCTGCTGCAGTCACTATTTCACACCAGCTTCCACAGTGAATATAAATTTGGAGTCTGGTGCTAGGCATCCGTGGTGGCTGTGGTTCCCATTCCTCTTAGCACCCATAAGCCACCCCGCCCCCCCCCACCCCACCCCACACATGTCCAGGATCATTTGGTTACCCATTTGCCACCCACCCAGTTTCACCCACGCATCAGTCCCCCAGCTGCAGAAAAAGCTCATTTCCTCCTGCCTTCTACTTTCCTGGCTGGTAGAGTGGCAGGATGGGATAATCGAGAAAAGAATAGGGCCTCCAAGTCAGACGCGCACGGGTTCCTTCCTCCACCTGCCACTTAGTATCAGTGTGCCCCTAGGCAAGTAAGTCTATCTCCCAAGGGCCCTGTGCCTCAGTTTCCTCACCTGTAAACGAGGTTAGTAAAAGCCACATCCTGTCAGTTTTGCCATGCCTGGAATAAAGGAAGCAGCAGCTGCGGTGGCTCATTTTGCACCAGCGTGGCGCGAGGATGGTTGAGCCATAATAGGTGAGAACCCAGATGCTTCAGAAATGTGACCTGCCAGTGAGGCCCCTCACATGCCTGGGAGATGCCAGACTGTATCTCTCTCCTCTTATAGGGCGTGTGCTGGTCGGGTGACCCGTCTTTCCAGTCGCCTCACACACCAGGTCTGTGATCACGCGCCCCCCACCCATAGTTGAGCCTGACCTGGCAGCGGCTCATGCGCCTTTCCTTCCCAGCTTCTTGCCACGGACCACACGTCGCATCCCGGCCGCCGGCCCCGCCCCCTCCCCCAGGCGCGCCCCTCTGGCTTGCAGGCTCGGGTGG